CGCTGTGCTTGCCTGGCAAGCGAAAGGTCCGGAGTTCAATCCCCCAGTAACCGCCCCAAAAAAATCCTGACTCCAGTATATATTCTTTAATACTAGCTATAACAATACTTTAATAATACCTGAATCTTTACATTTGATTCAGTTATACAATGCTTTGCACAACAGTAACAGCTCAATAAATGAAGCTACTATTGTTAATGTAGGAGATCAAAGAAAGGGAAATATTATTTTCTGAAAAGCTCCTATAAGCCAGGCACTGTTAGTTATTTATATAGTTTAGCCCATTTAATCCTCCTACAAGCAAAATAGGTAACTATTTACATTTTACACATGAGGACAGTAAGGCTCAGAGGCACTCAACTCGTTAGGGCTCTGTTTCCCTCTACCATGTCTGATGGCCCACATTTCCACCACTTGACTGATTCACCCATCAGCCACAGGACTAACAATGCATATCAACTTCAATTATTCTTTTGAGGTAAGGTGTGATTTTAACCAAAAGTAACTCAATCTTAAACAATAATTAAATCTGTTTAAATCATACAAATTTGTTCTCATAATAATTTATATTTATTTAAAATACTGTGTATGTTGTGTGGTACTGGGAATTGAACCCAGGGTCTTCACACTGAGCTACATCCCCAACCCTTTTTAATTTTTTAATTTAGAGACAGGGTCTCAGTAAGTCACTATAATTGCCCAGACTAGACTTGAACTTGAAATTGTTCTGACTCAGTCTCTCAGATAATTGGGACTACAGGTGCACACCACATCCCTAGCTATAATGTTTTATATTTTAAAAAGAAAAACAAATTACAGGCCTGATCATAAAATCAGAAACAGGAAGGGGTGCCTTGGATTAAAGCAACTGCAGCAAGAAGAGCTCAAAGCCTTTGCTTTTTTTTCAAAGCCTTTTCTTAAACACAACTGTAGAGGTGCAAATCTTCCCCATCTTACAGGGTGAGAAACTGACAGGAGACACAGGTTACAGTCAGCTCTTGCTCAGGTCACTAATATGCTGTTTCCTCTTACTATCTATGCCTTGACAAATGCTACTCCCTTGGTTTTGGAGTACACTTTCATTTTTCACTACAGAAATTATCACTCCTTCAAAATCCAGCACAAATTTCCTTTTAGTAGCTTTCTCGGATACTCCATCATAAAGTTAAATGCTTAAGTTCGACCCAGTAACAGCTTGTTTAGTTTTGTGGTACTGAGGACTGAACCCAGGGCCTCTGCATTGAGATGTATCTCCACTACTTTGTATTTTTTGAGATAGGATCTCACCAAATTGCTAAGTTAACCAGGCTGGACTCAAATTTATAATCTTTCTGCCTCAGCCTCCTGAGTAGCTCGGATTACAGGTACACACCACCACACATGGCAAGTTTATATGGTAAGGTGTCAGATATTTGTTTCTCCTACTAGTAGTAATTTTCAGAGTTAGGGGGAAAGACTGGAAGACACCAGTATAGGCAGATGTGTGCACATGTGTGTAAAAAAACACATTTGATATAATTCTTTGATTTGTTTTTTTGTCAGGACCTTTCACACATTTTTAAATACATACAGCATTAAAGAAAAGCAAGATGTTGGTTTTTTGGGTCTTTTTTGTTTTTTTCAGTACTAGGAATTGAACTCAAGACCTTGGACTTGCCAGGCAGGTGCGTCACCACTGAACTACATCCCCGGCCCTAGATGTTAGTTTTTTAATCCACATGGTGAATGCATTTTTTCCCCTTTAATGGTGCTGGGGATCAAACCCAGGGTCTTGGACATGCTAGGCAAGTGCTCTGCCACTGAACTACATCCCCAACCCATGAATGCATTTTAAAAGCCTGAGAGATGCTGAATTAGATCTTTAAGGGAAAGGACTACACTTTATTCATTCATGTGTTCCCAGCTCCTCACACAGGGCCAGGCACAAAGTGTGAATAAAGGCCTGAATGAATTAACATGCCTAAAATCATGATGCCAACTGCTCTGGAATTAGAACATGCCAGAATAGCACACAGCCCAAGCACCAAACAAAGGTTCTTTTCTTTCTCATCCTTCTCCAAGCCCACCCATTCTGTCTCAGAGAGAGAGAAAGAGAGAGAGAGAGAGCTGCCAGAATACTATTAAAAGGATTAATTTAGGGACCGGTGTTTGGACTGTCACATCCAATCACTACCCACAGATCTACAGCTTCCCAAATCAGGCTCATGCAAAGAGGAATCAATTGCAAGGACACAGAGGGTCTGAACAGGCATACTAATGGCCTCCTGAGGTGCCAGCGGCCAGCTTTGACACTCCCATAAATTATCTGCCTTTTGATTTTACCTGTAGCTGTGAGGCAAAAGGCACAATTTTAAACATATCAAAGCAATCCCTCGTAACCCAAGGCTCCCCAAGAAATGTCCCCAAAGAAGGAAAGGCTAAAAACAACAACCCAAAGGAAATCTGCTTCCCAGCAGGCCCAGTCCTAGCAGTCAACAATTAAAACCCAACAGGACCAAATGGATAAAGGAGAACTCAAATCAAACCTAGTAGATCTAAACAAGCCTTGCAACAGACTGTAGTTTTGCAATCTCTATGTATCTGTCACTCAAGGGAAAAGAAATCACTGCAATAAGCTAACACAATTTCATCTGGAGACAAATCTGCACTAGCATTTCCAGTGCCTCACAGCATGATCTTGGGCAACTCACTTAACTTTCTTGGGCCTCAGTTCCCTCAGATGATAGGAAGGAAACAAATGCTGACCAACTGATCTCCTTCGTAGAGTAATAGTGAAAAGCAATTAAAAAAAAAAAACACTGGAGAGACACTTCACAAAAATAGAGGACCACAAGGGTGGCAACACTAATAAATGACCTCAGACAGACAGGGAGAAATGACTGGTCACACTCTGGTGAATTTCTCTTGGGAAGCCGCTGACTTAATTCACTTTACACATGGCATTGGGACTACACTGAAAAAAGGTCCACCATAAAGAAAGTTCTGGGAATGGGAATCCTACTGTGTGCAAATTTTCATTATGAAAAGCAGTCCCTTACTTTATTTTTAACTTTCTCCTGGTGCTTCCGCAACAAGTGCTATGTTTCTGTCACATAGACAAAATGACAACTGTGTAGACCCAATACAAACTAAACCAAAGGCCAAGTCACCTAACTTTTTAAAATAATTACTAATTGTGTGAAATATTATTCATAATGAAATATATCAAGACACTGTGCTAAGAACTTTACATACCTTACTGAAGCCTTTAACCAACCCTATTAAGTCCCATTATCTCCGCTTTAAAATTAAGGAAAGTGAAACTCAGAGAGTGAGTCACTTGTTCAAGGTCATATAAATACCATCAGAAACCTACAGGCTTCCCTCCAGCAATCCAAGCACACCAGGGCTCATAGGAAGAGGAAGACAAAGGGAAAAAAGCAGGCACAGGACTCTGGGCTCTAACCTACCCATTAGACACTCAACAAATACTTTATTTGCTCTTTATGCCCAACTACACCACCATAACTGAATTAGAGGACCTTCCCAAACTCAGGAAAAGGTGATCAGTCTGCTATGAACAAGGAAAGGAGAGACTGAGTAGGACTTATATACAATGAGGACAATTCCCTAGAAAGCTTAGAAATATGGGTCAGTTTCTGTGTATACAGTTCAAGAAGTTCAAAGCAACTGACATTAAGCTACAAGTCCTTAAACCAAGATCCCTCCCAGGGTTCCATTTATTCTATACTTCCTTTAATAGAAAATAGTTCCCAAAATCTTTTAATTCATTCTACACCAACTTTCCCTTTCTATATGTTTTCTGTCTTGTACTTCCGACACATTCTTTGGTAGACATCCTTTAAGTTCCAACAGATGACCAAGAAGTCAGTAAAGAGAGCCAATATACACATGTATGCAAAGATTCATATAATGCTACCCAAAGTTGCCAGGAATGTAGCTCAGCAGCACCATCCCTGCCCGGTAAGCCCAAGGTCCTGAGTTCGATCCCCACTACATCCCCCCCCCCGCCGCCGCAATGCTACCCAAGTTAACTGCCACAGCCTCCTTACCGGTCTCTCTACTTCCAGTATTATCTATTCCCATCAATTCATTCTTAACACTAATATCAAAGCAAACTTTCTACAACATAAATTTAATGTCAATCATGTACTGCTTAAAACTTAACAGCTTCTTACTGTTAAGTCTCATCTAGGGGTCACCAAACTATGGTTCATGGGCCAAATTCACCTGGCACCTTGTTGTTTTGTTGTTGTTGTTTGGTACCAGGGATCGAACTTGTGACCTTGTGCTTGCAAGGCAGGCATAGAACCACTGAGCTAAATATCCGGCCCAGCCACCTGTTTTTATACATAAAGTTTTATTGGTACACAACCATGTTTATTTTCACACTCTCTATAGCTGTTTTCATGCATAACTGCAGAATTGTATAAACTAGTTGTGACAGAGACCCAGAAGCCCAAATATTTATTATCTTGTCCTTTACAAAAAATTTTGCCAACTTCTCATCTTTTTCCCGCCCTCCACCAACCTACCACCAGTCTAATCCTAAGTCTAATTTCTTAACCAGACCCTGGTCCTGGCAAAATGGAGATAGGTTAGGATTATCCATCTACTCAAAGGTGACATAAAACCCAAATTAAGGTCCCAAAGGCTCTGTTCAAATACATTATTAAGAACCAAATGAACATGTTTCTTCCAATTGTATTAAGATGTGTATTTCTCAGGATAAAGTACTATTTTCTGCCTCTATTCAACCATCCTGAACCTAAACTAAGTGCTCATGAGATACCCATTACAGAAATCATGACAGAACTTGAGAGTCTGAATCCCTTACCTCCAACTCTCACTCCACAAACATTGAGTGAACTTCAATAGGTTTTGAGCATATGCTGCCTTATCAGAAAAAGCTACATAAAAACAATCTGCACCAACCTCCACTCCACACCCACCAAAAGGAAGAAGTCAAGCCAAAGTTGACAATGCAACATAATTCTCACCTCTTCTTACTTCGAAGATGCCAAGACTGGCAGCTGGGGATGGTGAAGGTTCTGTGAGAGCTGGAAAGCCCCAATGCTGTGGACAAACAAATATTTCTGCAACAAGTCTATTTCAATACAAAAGATCAAACCCCCACTAAGGATTACCCTACGGTTCAAATTCCTAAACTCAAAATTTGGCATAAAGCTGTCTATGTGGAAAGAGTGCCCTTACAGAGCTTTCAGAAGCTATCAGGGTTATATTTGCTTTTGGAATGATGAACATGTTCTTTAGTAGTATACTTTTCATCTTAACAAGTCTTCCTACAAACCCCAAATATTTATAGTATCTGAGCCTGGACTGAGAAAAAAGAACATAAAGTAGTGGTTGTAGGATAATGTTAGAATTCTATCTGGAAAGAAGGAGACTTAGTAACACTGACAATACTTAGAACTTAGGAATTGAGGCTAGGCCTCAGGACTAAGGAAGGAGTCTGTTGCTACAAACCCACAGATCATATTGCAAATGGCCATATAGGCCAGGAAATACTTTCAAGAAACTTCCAAGTCTCCCTCAAGTACTAAGGAAGTTAAGGTAACCAAATCCTGGGTCAAAATATAAACATATTTATAACCTAACTCAGATCTTCCAAAGGACAAGAAGCTGCAGAGATTATTTTGTAAGCTAGTGATCCCCTCTCCATAGAAACATCTATGATTGGAACCAACATATTCCTTTCTGCCTTTTACACATTTAAGTCTTTATTCTAATTCAATCCCCTCGGGAAAGGCCATTCACCAACTTACCCCACCTCAGAGAAAACACTTTTCAAAATGAAAGGGAATAAAAGCACCTTTATTTGGAATTTTCAAGTTGGAAGGAGAGCTCTTACCAAGCTCTATGACCTAGCTAGCTGATTATTTACAGGATCTTTGGGCAGGAATTGTTAATGAGCTTTTAATTTGGAGTGCTTAAATTGCCAAAGTGCTCTGAGCTCCAGTGAAGCACCACAGAATCCATAAAGGAAACCTTATCAATCACTTCCCGGCAGCTCCCTTCCCCCACTCTGCACCTCCTGAGGAAAGGCAGCCAAGTGGGTTTCTAACCAAGATCACAGACATTAGTGGAGTCACACTCCAAATCCCTGTTTATAAATTGACTTTTAAATGGTAGGGGATTCAGGTATAATATACTTAAGCTCCAAGAACGAGCCCACTAAAACAAGGTATGCTGTATATGATAGAATAAATCAGAACTTGATGAAGCCAATTGCTGGTAAAAACTCTACAATCAAAAATCATTCAACCAATCACAATCTACTATCGTTAAACAGAGTATACTCTTTAGCCAATGAGGTTCATGTTTTGCTGCTCTTATGCTCAGAAACTGATGCAATGTCTAAAAACAAACGCTACAGAACTGGGCAGAAACAATCATGGTCACTGTTTGTTGCAAAATCCAGCCCTAAGGACAAACTCCACACCCCAATGAAAGGTTCACATCCAGCATCTCCCAAGTCACCAAGGAGCAGTTATATTTTGCAAGAATTCTCAGCCAAGCCTGTATCCAAGTTCATGCCTTTTTAAAGTAAAACACCTGTTGCTGAACCATTTGTACAAAACCAAACAAAGCCAGCCAGATTAGGCCTTTTTTTTTTTTTTTTTTAAACTCCTTTCACCATCTCTACTTCCAGCGCTTCAGATTTACAGAGCTAAACTGCTAACCTGTGTGTGTGCATGTGTTGGGGTTTTCTGTCTCCTTGCTTTGTTTCTAATCTCTCTGGTCAAATTTCTCTTCCTCTTTTCTAGTAATCCCAAGTAAGAAGTCAATTCACCCAGTCTGTCTTGCAAAACCCTGCCCCACTCCCTCTTCACCAGAACGTTACTCAGTAGATCATGCATCCAAGGTGAGCACACGGACAAACACCCCAGGCTACACAGACTGTGCACACCACGACTCCACACCCAGCATGCATTAGCCAGGGCCCAATGGGGGGGGGGATAATTAGCATCACCCACCCCAGGGTGTTGCCCCCAGCTCGGACCCAACCAAGTCCAGGGGATGGTAAGGGGAGGGGCAGGGGGCCAGGAGACCAGCCCTCCTTCCCAGGGCCGCCCCCGCCCCCCGTCAGCTGCGGGAGAGGCTGTCGCCATGGCAACGCCCCCTCCTAGGGGCTAGCGCGGCAGGCTCCCTCCGGGTGCAGGCCCCGACGTCTCCCTCTGCCTCAGCAGGCGCTCAGGGCAGTTGATGGCGGCGGGCACGGCCCGCGCCGACTGTGGCGCCGGTCAGGCAGAGGCTGTGCCAGCTCCGCCCGCTCCCCACCGCCCGTTCCCGGCCGCCTCAAAAGCAGCAACCACCGCCACGAGTCCACAACACACCGACTCACCTCCGCGCACTCTGACCCCGTTCGACGCGGCGGACGGGCGGGCGCTGTGGCCAACCGGTGAGCCCGCCGCCGGCCCCTTTGACCAATAAGCTGATATGGGGCGGGGCTTCTTAGCTCCGAATGCGCCCTCTCCCGGCGACATGCGCGCTAAGGTGTACCAAGATGGCGACTTGAGAAAACTAGCCTTATGGGACTTGTAGTTTTAAAATTGCACGTACTCAGAAGAGAAGGGGAGGGTCACTTCTGAGCTGTAATAGGGATTTTTAAAAAAACAAAAACTTCCTCAGTTCTAGAGAGATCCAGATGCCCCACCTCCGTTTTCACACCTTTCAATATATGCATAAGGTGAGTATAGGCTTATAAGGTTATATATTCTGTTTAGATGCTACCTCATGATTCATTCAACAAGTAATTATCATCATCTACTCGTGGATGTAGGCCTGGGAGGAGGTAAGGCAAATTGGGCTAAGAAGAAAATGCTTAGATTTCTGAAGGGCCTTTCTAAGGAAGAGGGAACTGATTTATTTTAGGTCCCATCAGAGGAAATAACAGGGTTAAAAGTATTCTGGCTGCAGATGTGGGGAGCTTCCAGTCTCTCCAGTCAGACGGAGAAATATACCTCTGGCTTTGATGAGATAACTGTCGCTCATCAAAGCCAGAGGTATATTTCTCCATCTTGTTTATGCTTCTCTGGGAAGCCATAGGTACCAGATTATGAGCTGAGAAACCTCAGTTTAACCAAGACAATGAGGACTTTGGCAGCCTCTCAGTCAATCAGGACCTATCCTATTGGGCCAACTTCAGTTACCAGCTCCTCTGCCATCTGCTTATTTTCACTTAAGACAATAACATTTCCAGACTCTGCCACCTCTGGGATCTTAACATAATGGTTCCTGTCTAAACTGGAAATGCTTGGTAATTCCCATGTCTGGGAGTGTCTTCCTCAATCTCATCAACGCAATGGGTTAGTTTATTCTGTGCCCATACAGAATTGATCACAATGTTTTATAATTGTCTATTTCCTTGTCATCTCTCCTCCAAGACTTTAACTTCCTTTAGTATAAGTATTATTTCTATATTGTTCATGCTGTATCAGAATACCCAGTACAGTACCAGGTATAAAGCTGTCGTGCAAGTACTGTTTGTGAACAAATAAAGAACTAAACAGCATCAGGGACATGACAGGGGATAAAGGAGAAAGAACAAACAATAGAGAAGTAAATATAAAAATAAGAGCCAGGTGCTGTGGCACAAGCCTGTAAGCTCAGCTACTCAGAAGGCTGAGGAAGGAGGTTTCAAATTCAAGGCCAGCCCTGGCAGTTTAGCTAGATTCTGTCTCAAAGCAAAGATAAGAAAGGCCTGGAGTGATACCAGCACTCAAGAGGCTGAGGCAAGAGGATGGAAGAGAGTTCAAGGCCAGCCTGGGCTACATAGTGAGTTCAAGGCCTGCCTGAACTACATAGCGAGACCCTGTCTCAAAAAAAAAAAAAAAAAAGTTGGGGCCCTGGGTCCAATCCTCAATACCACACCACACCCCCCAAAAAAAGATAAAAGGCCAAAAGATGGCCTCTTCTGTCTCTGGCTTTGTTATATCTTAAGTTCTTGCCTGAATGAGACACAAGCAACCTTCTTGGCTATAAGAATGATATACTTTACCTAACTGGATTGGAGGCCTTCTTTAAGGTCCAACCCAAACATTCTCCATTTAACCTTTCATGATTAATTTGACTTCCCCCTGGACTGTGATCCTTCCCTTTTGGTGCTCTAGGACTCAAGTATGCAGCTTCCAGGACCTTACCAGGCTATAAGCTCTATTTGGACAAAGACTAGTCACATGGATTCAAATAGAACGGTTTTAATAGAACGGTTTATTTCAAATAATAGAACTCAGTATATACACAGTATCTTGCACTGCTACCTAACCCAGCATTTGACTCCCTCAAGCCTTGGATCTTTTTTGTGTGATTTGATCACCTAGGAAACAGAGCCTGAGCTGGATGTGGTGGCACATGCCTATAACCTAGCTATTTGTGAAGCTAAGGCAGGAAAATCATAAATTTGAAGCCAGCCTGGGTGACTTAGTGAGACCCTGTCTTAAAGTGGTTTGGAAATGTAGCTCATTGGTAGAGCACTTGCTTAGCACATGCAAGGCCCTGAATTTAATTCCCAGTACTGCAAAACAAAACAAAAAGCCTGAGGCAAAGCTTGTATGCTAGAATTTAACTGGGAAGAAAGTATGAACCCAGGCCAGCAAGAGTAAGGAGGGAAAAGAAGTGAGCCAAGGTAAGAGGAAGTGAAAATATAAGAAAGTGTATTACTAAGTTGGCCAGAGTTTCAAAGAAAACACAGCTAGTTTCTCTGTCATACAAATTAATTCTAGATGAGCAATGAAGAAGGAGCGCATCTCAGGGGGAAAAGAAGGCTGTGTTAGCCTACCATTCTAGTAGCCACAGGGGGTGCCACATTCCACACCCTGTAGCACAATGGTTCATCTGAGACTAGAAAAGGTGGAAGAAGTCAGAGTCTGTGGCTTGGTGAAATTGGGCCCACTGCAGTCCTCCACAGTGGGCACATGGGAGGCTGTGTCAAAACCTAACCCTCATCCCAGAAGAGACTAAGATAGCCAGATGAAGTGATAGTAGTGGCAGCAGGGCTATCCAGTAAGCAGTGGCCAAGGCCCTGGCTCAAAGTATAGATGGGGCAAGCATATTTAGGGCAGCAGGTGAACTGAGGCCAGGGCACAGACTCAGATACACCCTAGACAGCCTTCTGACTTCCAGACTAAGTAACTGACTAAAGTGAACCCTGAGAGCAAGAACCAAAGACAAGACCAAACTGTTTCAACTACCCTTCAAGCCACCAGGAAAAACAGCAAGGTGGCGTCAAAGCTGGGACATTAACCAGCAATTAAAGAGCAGTGAGCACAGGACCCAAGGACAGTGTCTGGCAGCCCCCATCATGGCACAATTGGGAGAACTCAGACATTCTGAAATCATTTTATTGGGGAACTAAACTGCTACTGTTATCATAGTTCCTATAAGCTACATAAGACAAGATGGTGCAGTTATAAGGAGTGTAGGCTTGGAGAGAGACTGTTCAGGTTTGAATCCTGGCTCCATCTTGATCTTAGGCAAGTCACATGCCTCTCTGAGGTTCAGTTTCTTCATCTCTAGTGGGGAGATAACACTCGTACCTACCTTTTATTAGAATTAAATACACAAGTGTTTAGCACAGTACCTGGCATAGAGTTCAGTAAATAGTGGCTGTAATTTACTATACACTCTTCCCCACCCCTCTCTCTGACTCCTCTCCACACCATGAGCACCATGCCACTATCTCCCTCCACCCTCAGCAGTCTTCTGCTGCTTAAAGAGCAGTGAGGGCTGGACCTGGTCATGCCTTCTTCTCCCTGCTCTCCCCAGAGCTATTCCCCATGAGCCTGTGCCATTCATCTCCTTGGTGACCTGAATCTGAACTAAGAGACGGATGTAGGGTGGCTAAGGCCAGGGTGGTAATGTGCTCCCTTATCTCTGTGCCCCTCACTGGGGCCTAGTTAATTTTCCCTTTGATTTTAATATAGATTTATTGAAAGTTTCAGTTATCAAAACAAACTGCAGCAGCAAATTGGTGTTCTTTGCAGGCCTACAAGTGCCTATAAAGCTGCCATGCTCGGGAACGAATGGCGCTCTCCGGGAGGTCAGTCATGGCAACAGGAAGTCCCTGGGGACACACACACTGCAGTTTAATATTTTTCTTATTAGCCTTTTTCTTCTTGGCTATCTAAGCCTCCCCTTTAAATCGGAAATCAAATGGAGCCAGCTGCCTGAGGAGGTTCTCTTCCCCAAGCTGCTCTGCTCTCCTCTACCTACTCCCTGTCTGCTCTCTAGTCCTCCCCTCCTTGTCTCAGATCCTCTGACCTCACCCTGCCTTGCCCACTGGCCCAGAGAGAATTATGATCTAGTGCCCCACAGGTGTGACTCTGAAATGTCATGATTTCCACGGCCCTGTCCTATCTGTACAAGGTCTCCCTGGGCTATCCAGCCTCTAGTCAGAGGCAAGGCATTCCTAGAAAAGATCATGACCCCAGGCTCCTCCCAGATCTGGTCCTTGGAAGAGGAAAAAATGCAAAGTTTCAAAGGAAAGACATTGCTTTCAAAAAGGCATGAAGTCCTGTCAGAATTAATTGGACTCAAAAGAAACAAACAGGTGATAATGATCTTAGAGAGTGGGCAAGTACTGCCAGCCCAAGAATTGTCAGATTTTATTCTCATATCTCCATTGCCACTCCCAATAT